CTACAGATTTGACACCCGCCCGAATGCTCTTAGCCCCATCTTATTGGAGGTCTTTGCACTTATGTTGCCAGGAAAACGAGATGGTCTCGGTTCTTGGGAACTGTCAATAGACAATGTTCACAGATTTTAGAGTTTATAAAAATTATCAGAAAAACCATACATATTACACAATAGCCTATTGCCGCCGAGCGGAGAAATCCTGGTAAACACTGTGGCTCTTTTTTCATTAGTCATCACATATTTCCATAATAATTCATTTTTTATGTGAGTGTAAGAACTAAAGTGTATACATACACACAACAAACCAATACCAGAACTACTTTTCAATATGTGTTTTATATGCAAACCAAAACAATGTTCATGTTTATTTACATAGAGCGGGGAAGTGAGATTCGATCAAGTGGTAACTTAAGCAACGTGGAGCACAAAAGACGCATGTTAGTGCCATGTCTGAACCATGGCGTAGGAGCAGTCTGGATTTCTCTACCACACATATGCAATACATTTAAGCTATAAAACATAATATTTGTTTTGGAGTTCAAGGAATGTATTTGTATTCGTCTCCTCAATGTGTTATTAATGTAAAAGTGAAAAACCCTCAAGGAATCATAGAGGGCATGACCATATCTTAAATGAGAAAAGGAGCAGAGAGAGAGAGAAAGTTGCAATAAAACCGAGGCTAATCCCTCTGATACCATTTGGCAGACGGTTGCTTGATATACCTCAGGCTGGATATTAAAAATCTCAGATGGGCTGTCCAACTGACAACTTAATCCATTTAGGGACATTGAGTAAGCAGCAGGAAGCTGAGTCAGGGTCAGTGTACACAGAGGTCTGTCATTTCTCACACGCGGCACAATAGGTTTATCTCTGGTAATCTATTCAGAAAGCTTAAGAAGTCAGACCGAAACAGCAGAGAGGCAGGATAAAAATGCAATCATCCACTTGTGATATCATGATGATTAAAAGGTGTCACATCATTAAAGCCTAATCAGATAGCAGCTACACAAGTACTTCAAAAAAGAAAACCTGTGCTGTATATTCTAGCATTTTCTAATAGGAAGAAAAAAAGACTGCAAGAACATCATTGTCTGGTGTGAGCATATGTTAGGCAATATCCTTGAATTGCGAAGGGTGCTGAATGTGACCTTTTGAAAATGGGGCAGTTCAATATGTTAATTAATAAGGCCATGATTCAAGGTAGAGCAAGATTGGCTGGGGGCAAAGCGGTCTCACAGACTTTCCTATTAGTACCTGCAGCAAAATTATTGAAAATAAAAATGGAATATAGACCGAGTTTGGTGGCTTACATAACAAAAACGTTGTGGGATTCTTGAAAGACAGACAACGTTAACTGAGAAGAAAGTGATGGAGAGGCTTGTAACGTGTAGTGTAAGAAAGGTGTTATGATTGAGTTTCACAATACATTTCCAGCCATCAGAAAATAAAACCGATGATATGCTGTCGGCTCAGGGTAGGCTCAGGGTTCATGGAGTGGATAAATGTATCATGTTAATGTTCTACGGGGCAGCAATTGAGTCTATTATTCGTTATGACATCACAACATGGTTTGGTAACTTGTCAGTTAAATCTAAATCACAACTCCAGAGCTTGATAAAAAGGGCTGGAAAAATAATTGGCATGCTTCCACCATCCTCTCTTCAGGAGATATTTGAGGAGATGGTGAGAAAGCAAGGCCGTAAAATCACATGCGACCCCAAACACATCCTGTATAGAGAGTTTGAGAGAGTTTGAGAGTTTGAGTTTGAGAGTTTGAGTAATCTATACCTTCCATATTTAGCAGAAGGTATAGATTACCAAACTGTAAATTGAACAGGTATAAGTTTTCCTTTGTTCCGCTGTCAATCAAGCTGCTGAACAGTCAGAAATAATTGTGATTATGCTGTGTTAGGAGTTGTTGGGAGGTGAAATGTTTACAGTGTAGTTTGTGCAATCGAGAAGGTTAAATAGGGGAAGTGCATTATGTGTAAATAGGTATGGACACAATAGGGATATGTGCAATTTGACGGACACTATGCATACAGTAGGTGCAATAAGGAAAGTGCAATATTGATTTGTGTATGAATACAGTAGGGAAGGTGCAATATTTGATTTATGTATAAATACAATAGGGAAAGTGCAATATTTGATTATGTATGAATGCAATAGGGATATGTGCAATAGGGAAAGTGCTGTACCTGTATGTTTCTTGTTTGTTTCTTTGCCATGTGATATGTGATCTCTGTTCTGTATCTATGACTGATTGACCTGAATGTTTTATGTTTATTATCTCGATGCCCAAGACAAATTTCTCCTAAGGGAGACAATAAAGCTCTATCTTATCTTATCTTATATTAGCTAATAGATACACAGCGGTTTCTAGTCTTTATGCTTAGCTAAGATAGCCGGCTGCTGGTTGTAGTTTCCTATTTATCATACAGAGTGGTATCAATATTCCCATCTTACTCTCTGCAAGAAAAGCGTATTTCTTTCAAAAGGTCGAAACCATTTTCTAAAAGAAAATACTGATAAATCAATCATGTTAAGTATTTGGGGCTGAAGATGAGCCAGCTTGTAAGCAAAGCAATTATTGTATACTCAACATTTTTTTATGAAGTTCCAGGTAGAAAAGAGCTGATTCTAAAATGCAATATCCTCCATTAGGGATGTGGCACCTACTGAAATGATAGCAGGTAATACAAATATATGAGGGGGGGTCAATCTATTGTACTTGGGGCATTTAAATCTGTTTTTGAATAAATACTTGTTCCTATATTGTAGCTATAATATGACAATACATTTTCAGCCATGTATTATTGTTGTTGAGAGTCAATCATGTGTGCAATGTTGTGAATAAAGGTTTGGAGGGGATGATTTACATCAAATGCAAACTCTTCGATAGCCATTGCTCACGTAAACTAGAAAATAACGACAGGCGCATCAGATGAAAGACACAAAACAAAAAAAGTTTGTCCTGATTATTTAATTATCAACAAACAGTGCAGTCATGCAGTTGGTAATGTTAGCCTGCAGTGACTCATGCATTGACAGAGGCATTTACAGTCAATTTATTCAAGCTTTTCAAAAATATCAACTCTGACAGGTGTCATTGTGCACCATCTACCGAATTCACATCACCAAGCAATAGAGTGAGAGGGACGGTGGTGTGGGCAGAGGGGCTCATTGTTTGTCTCCTGAGCCTCTCAAACCTGTTCCTGATAACAGCACATTTTAAACCAGACTCCATGAGCTGCAGGTTCAATACTGCCATCTTCTGGATTAAGTTGTTTATTGTACCATGCAAGGGGTCCTTCCTTTACCTCCTTCCTCACAACCTGTTTAACATTCCTTGTCCATCCAATAATGATGTTTCCGGTCCCGAACCCTAAACCAATAACAAACACATTGTGGATACTATTCATAGACAAACGTTTTGTATTCTGGACTACAGGTAAGGATTATCTAATTTATTGAATCCCTGTTAAACTCAAATCCAATTAACCCTCCAATTAGTAAGGTTTTGTTTCAGCTGCGGATGGAGACACTGTGCATTTGAATATTATGTTAGAAATCGTAAAGTGTCTTCACAAAAGTTGCATCAGTTTCCACATGAGTGAGCAACACTGAACTTCTCAAAAAAGGCTTTGTTTGTATGTAGTGTATCATATCCAAACCATACAATATATCTTATTGAAATAGCAGAAGTGTTTCCTCTGCATTCTGAAAGGTTGTTTTCCTTCATAAAACATACTGGGAAACATAATCAAAAGATCAGTGAATGTATGATACTTGTAAATCCACACCCTATTTCTCGATGAAAAGTATGCAGACATTTGGTGAACAAATAAATATGGCAAAAGGTAACTTGGAAACGTATCAGCTATTGCCAAACAGCTATGGATGGGATATCTTAATATTTTAAGCTTTTATTCAGGATATACTAAAGTATTTAGCAGCTGCAAAAAGCTTGTTGAATAGTCAGACAGAGCTGTTGTAAATGTTCATGTACTGTCGTCTACTCACCCACACACCCGAATCCGTGAACACATTACACCCGTCCTCATCAAGCTCCACTGGCTCCCCATCCCCCAGATAATTCAGTACAGAATCCTCCTAATGACATACAAAGCCCTCCATAACCTGGCCCCATCCTACCTAACTGACCTCCTCCGCTGACACACTCCCACTCGCTCCCTCCGCTCTGCTACTGCCAACCTCCTGTCCCCTGCCCCACCCCGACCAACCTGAAGTCCTGGGGCGACAGAGCCTTCTCCGTTCTTGCACCCACCCTCTGGAACTCACTACCCCAATCCATCAGAGATTCTTCCTCCCTCACAGCATTCAAAACATCCCTCAAAACCCACCTGTTCAACACTGCATTCAACCACTGACCACCCCCCCCCCCCCCTATTTTCTGTTTTGTTTATCTCTTTTTGTATTTTTCTTTGTTTTGTTTTTTAATTCTCTGTCAAAGCGTCTTTGAGTTTCCTGAAAAGCGCTATACAAGTCTCATGTATTATTATTATTATTATTATTATTATTATTATTATTATTATTATTATTATTATTATTATTATTATTATTATTATTATTATTATTATTATTATTATGTGCACATATTCACCGGAAGTATGCCTGTCACTTGTGATATTATGTCCACCTTGACGCTGAAGTTTCGTTTAAATAATAATGACTTTCTGCCATCTAGCGGCAATAATCGTCAATATGATGATAGTATATTGCGCGCCACTTCTGCACAAGATTGTATTAACCACTTCCGGCTAATACCTTCAAAATAAAGATGTACTTACTGTGACAAGCCAGGGGAAAAGTCATCTTAAATCATACTAATCCTTCAGTATCGGCCTTTGAAAGTATATCACCTACATGTCATTATTATTTATTTGTTCTTCTTGCTGTTGTTATCGCAGCATTGCTTGATACCTGCACATTACGTTTTATGAAAAACAGTCGGTTAGTGACGTATTATTAAGGGGACAGAGGGAGGGTTGTTTGAAAGCAAAGAGGCAACTTCTGTCAACATGTTTTAAATAAAACGACGTACCTGAGTCAGTAAAATGCCTTATCTTCCAAATTAGATGATACTAATGTTGATACATTATTTCCTTCTTGAGACTTTTAATCTGAAGGTAAACAAACTTGAGATGCTAGCTTACTGTTAGCTAGCTGCTGCTCTCTGTGTAGCTTCTTGGACTATTCTTTCCGCTAAATGGTGACCCACTCTGCCACAAAAGGTTATTTCTTGACAGCATTTTAACACGACCTGGCAACATGGCGAGCGTGCATGAGAGTTTGTATTTCAACCCTATGATGACGAACGGAGTGGTCCACGCTAACGTGTTTGGGATCAAAGACTGGGTGACTCCGTATAAAATATCCGTCCTGGCGCTGCTGTACGACATGACTGCGTCTAAAACCACTCTGCCCGAGAGAAGGAGGCTTAACAAACTCATCCTACCCTTGCAGCAGGTTGGTTTTATCAATATATTATCTTGCATACCTGTGTGTTGTTGAGCAGCTGTATCACCCAACACCTGTAACAAAAATGTTACATATGTGCATTGTGCAATGTGTTATAAACTAGGAAATGTAGTGTTTACAACTGTCATTCTGCAGCTACTTCATTACTTCTACTTGTTTCACTTGTTTTTGTATAATGCTGCCACTTGCCTTTTTATACTTGAAATGTGTAATTATTTTACGCTTTACTAAATATCGTTTTTATACAGTTTTGTATTTGTCTCTATCAGTACTGTCTCTAATTAAGGAATGCTGATTCTGTACCTTGTTTGTTATCAGGGTCCAGACCTGACTCTTGGCCAATTCCTGAAGACTGTGGAGGAGTGTTGCCCTCAGACTGCTTATGCTGTCAAACAACGGTATGCTGCTTCCGTCTGAAACACCGGGACTTTATTGAATTACTTCATAACAGGCAACGCTGTAACTCTGGTAGAAAGGGTCACCAGGCTACTAGTTACTGGTGCTTTCATTGTCTCTTAAGTTTAAGAAATTGTAGCACATAATTTTGATGTAGCATTTGGTATGGCATCTAGTGGAATGATAACCAATCTGTTAGATAATACAATATCACAATAATGTTAAAGTTTGGACCTGTGTAGATGCTGAGGGGCCATTGTCTTTTTCCTTCAAAGGCTGCAGGAAATGGCAGATGGAGAGCTGAAAGACATGGAGTACTTCTTTTCCACTCTTCCCACTCCATTCACTGCTTTTGATTCTGAGGCTTATAAAACCAGTGTTGTAGGTGAGTAGTACACAGGATTTCTCAGCTTTTTAAGGGATACTTTGGTTTTATTGAAATGGGGTTGTATAAGGTAAAACATTTTATTGTAGTGACAGTCTAACTTGTTTTAGATGTAATGGAGAATCAGGCCGGAGTATATTTTAAGTGCATGCTTTATTTAAAATATCTTCTGTTTCTCCATGGATCGCATACAACATTCATAACATTTTGATTGTCCCTTTACATTCTGAATTGTCTGTGTTATTCTCACTAAGAGGTTTTGCATTCATTTGTTTCCCTCCTATTTTTTAGGTCTTTTTATGAGACACATGCTTCTGGCCTACAACAAGCTGTCTTTCAGTCAGGTCTACAAGCTGTACAAGTCCCTGCAGCTCTACTACCACAGTCACTACGCCAAGCCTGCTGACGGGCGGCTCAGTTTGCCGGCGCTGGTCGCTGACGACTCCGACATGGACCTCACCAGCACTGAGGATACTGTGGGAGACCGGATAGACAGAGAGGAGCTGGACACCACACTGCATGAGTCAGAGCTTCGGTGAGTGGATTATAAATTGGATTTTGTTCTAATCATTGGCACCTACTACTATAAATGTATTCACTGTGTGTCTGCGCAATGTGTTCAGATTACTAACTGGTCAAACTTCTGATCAGAGGGATTTTAAAAAGCTGACCTTGTGTTATTTTTTCCCCACTGTAGGAATGACAATACTCCAAGCAGTGGCCCTCTGTCACAGAAACAAGCTGAGTACTTTCTTGCAAGACAGGTGAGATGTTAAATCAAGAAACTTTATCTGACTGTATTAATGAATTCTTGTTTTAATTTGTAGATTTGCCACAATAGATAATAAATGAACCAGGCATCAGCATCCTTTGTTTAACCTAGATATGGTCATATAGCACCTTAGGGTTCTTACAGTGTTTTAAAACATCTTTCTGCAGGCTTATCTTCTGAAGAACGATGAGAACAAAGCTCTAAAGCCTGCTGCACTGCAGGAAGAGCTCAACAACATGCTGAAGTTTAACCCGGACTTTGCTGAGGCTGTGAGCTCCGTCCTCTCATTTTATTCTACTATGTCAAAAGTCTTCCATAGCGGGAATATCTTTTGTATCAACTCTGTGATTTTCACTCTCTCCTCAGCATTATTTAAACTACCTGAACAGCATGAGAGTCCAGGACATCTTCCTCTCCGCCCACTGTCTCTTACATTATTTTGACCGCCTCATCCTGTCTGGTAATGAAGGAAAGAGCAACGGGGACGAGGGCTACGGCCGAAGTCTCCGCTACGCAGCTCTCAACCTGGCTAGCCTGCATTGTCGCTTCGGCCACTAGTGAGTACAAGAACTGGTGGAGTCTTAACAATGAACATGTTCCAAAAACAGAGTATCTGTAAAACATGGCTAAAATGTGGCTTGTGGCGTATTTTTTACTTGTGATGTGTGCCATTTTGTACAGTCCATGCTGTATGAAAAGTGCTATATAAATAAAGCTTTATTATTATTATTAAAATATCTGCTCTCCATTAGTCAGCAGGCTGATCTGGCTCTACAGGAAGCCGTCCGTATTGCCCAGGAGTCCAACGATCACGTGTGCTTGCAGCACTGTCTGGTAAAATATGTTATTCTACACAACTATACGATAATACTTCATTGTGAGATAAAGTCAGATTTTTTTTTTTGCATCACGATTTTAATGCAGATTTGATCTGGAAAAATATCTATTTAACTTCAGAAATGCCTAGTGCATAAAGATTGATAAAGACTGATGAATTAAATGGTTAATTATGTCTGAATTTAATATGAGTGTACCTTATTTTACTCCTGTCTGTCTGTGTGTCAGAGTTGGCTGTACACCCTGGAGCAGATGAAGGGATCTGACAGCACGGTGCTGACGGAGGACTCCGTGAAAATGGCTGCCCATTTCTGCCTACCAGTGAGTGCCACATAAGCGCTTTAATAAGAATGCCTTTATTAAAGTGGCTGGCAGTTAATTCATTATGTTTTAATTGCCTTGGCTCACTTTGAAAACCGTTCAGCCAAATCCTGATCACAAAATGCTGTCATCTTAAATGTGGGCATAACATAAGAAACAAATATAAAAATCTGTACTAAACTGCTTTGTTAATGCTGCTTTGAGTTTACATTTTTTTATTTTTTTTATGAAAGGTTATTATTAAATAATTCTGATTAAATCCTTAGTTTTATTTAATAAAGGAATATATAGGAAGCTTTTAAATAAAAAAAACAGCGAGTTAAAACAGAGCTTGCCACACATAACAAAAAAAGCAGCACAGAATGCATCCTTCATCATTGATTGTACACATCTTAACCAGAGCTTTGCATAGGTTTTATTTTGACGTGTTGTCCACCACACTGATGATAACCCTCTCTGCTGTAGTACCTGGCCTCTCTGGGCATTCAGTCTCTGGTCCAGCAGGGGGCGACGCAGGGGAAGACAGCCCACAAACTGATGGACGCTCTGAAGGACACTGACATCCTGCACTGGAAGCACAGCCTGTCGGAGCTGATCGAGATCAGCCTGGCCCAGACTACGTCCATATGGAGGATGTACGGCAAGAGGTCAGGCTCTTCAACTCGCTCCCCCCTGACACCCATTTGTCAGTTGTGTTCACTTACAGTGAACTGCATGCTCGCAGGCAACCGTCCCTTCACTCACAACAAATCATCTCTGTGAAACACGCCTGAAATGTCTCATGTTTTGTCTTGAGTATAAAAATACATATTACAAGTTAAGGTGTACAAATACATGATTCAGGAGCAGCCCTTTTCTTGTGTCTCGTGCAGCACCATGGCTCTGCAGCAGGCCCAGCTGCTTCTCAACATGAGCAGTCTGGAGCAAGTCAACTTCGGGGTCCAGCAGAACAACACAGAGGCGTTCGCTGTGGCTCTGTGCCACCTGGCCGAGCTGCACGCTGAGCAGGTAACACATTTAATTCGATCTCGTCCGTCTGCTTTCTGCCCCGCTCTAGCACATCCATTAGTCAGGTGACCCGGCATTGAGGCAAAGGTGATAAACATGGATCAGGTCTTCCTTACAGCTCCCTGACTTCAACATGTCTGTTTGCTTCTGTTGCAGGGCCTGTACTGTGCCGTTTCAGACATTCTCCAGCATCTGAAAGAACAGTTTCCTCCTCACTCCCAGCATGCAAAGGTGCGCTCTCTTAACCCTACTGTAATATTCAGGACAGACATTAGTAACTGAAGACGTTGAGAAAAAGTGTTAAGGCTGGCCAGCAAACTGTAACAAACACAAAGTTGTAATGCTTCTATTAAATGAATTTGTGAGGCTTATTTTTAAACCAACAAAATGTTTGCTTCTTGCCTTATTTAGATAATGTTTAATGAACACAGGGGGAAATGCACATATTTTTTCCATTTGACCTAGTTTGTTTACACTAAATGGTTCATGGGGATTGAATGTTTTTCAGTTTTGAAGTTGTCTAACTGTCTACTATTAACATTTATATTAAAATGAATATAATGATTTAATGTACTATATTTAAATATGTGATTTAAAAAAGGTTAAAGCACACTAGATAACAAGAATCTCCATAAGTCCGAAGCTTTCTAGGGATTTAGGGATCTACGCTATTTTACAGCGTTATAATTTGTGTATTTTAAAACAGGTGTCAAAAGTCAGATTTCATTATTTGGGTCTTAAGGCATGTGGGAGACGTTGCTTTATTCTTGAATGCTTGCATAATCCATGATAAGAAATATACTAAATAATGATATTTTTGTTATTTTTACCTCAATCTTTAATTCAGCTCTGGATGCTGTGCGATCTGAAAATCCAGTTTGACAGACACATGAACGAAGGGAAATACCATTTGGCAGAGCCACTAGTCACAGCCATCTCTGCCTTAAACAAAACAGAAGGTCTCTACAGGTAACAGCCTTACGCATTATTCTAACAATGGCTATCGCTAACGTGTGTATTTTGTGTCGGAGCTGTAACAGTGTGTTTTCTGACAGGAAAGCTCAAGTTTTGAAGGCTCTGAACCGCAGCACTGAGGCGTACAGCGTCTTGCAGCGGCTGCAGGTGCACTGTGAGAGGACTAAATGCACAGAGGTGGTCATCAGGTAGACACTTTATCCATTCTGGTGTGTCCTGGAGTGTAGAGGACAGTGAACTTACTTCAACTTAGCCTACATTCTCTTTTTATTTATGGAATTGAATTGACTCACTTATTTTAGGGCTACCATAAATATTTAATGTATGACGTTCAAGCTTCGGTATGAGCTGCATTTTCTTCTTGTGTGCGTCATGCCCTTTTCTGTCTCATACAGAGTTATGCTTTCCACCGCTGAGCTCCACTGGGAGTCGTGTGGCTTCTCCACAGCTCTCCCTCTCCTCCTGCAGGCCTTGGCTCTGGCCAGGCAGCACCACCTCCAGTCCCTGGCCTCAGAGACCATCCTGCACCTGGCCTTCACTCAGGTCATTCACAAGAAACACATCAAAATGTTCCCACATACAAATCACAAAAGCATTACAAAGCATTGCATTACGGCTGGTGTATAAAATTAAAATAAATACAACACTTGCTTTCTTTAGGTGGTGCAACGCTATTTTATTTGTAGAGCATCAAGGTAATTGCTTTACAGGAGCATATAATTATACTAAACTTGTTGAAGCTTCTTACATTTGACTGCTCTGTTTTTTCAGCAGGATTACAGAAAAACTAAAACCAATTTCAATTCAATGTTTTCATAGGGTGAGGCATAGGCCAAGTAAGAACACATTACATTTTTGAGCGGATCCAAATCACGGGGAAGATACACAAATTATTTTTCACTTACAATAACATGGCAAGAATGGCATAAGTGCTGCATTTTATAATAAAAAAAATAATAGTTCCTATATGTGAATATTCACATTAACACAGCTATCAAGTTGATTTTTAAATGTTTTGAGCAATAAAATCTCAATGTTCCAAAGTAAATACTCAAAGCTCATGGATACATCAGTCAGGAAATAACCTTTCAACTGGAAAGATGTGACCAGCCCAGGAGCATGTGAATGCACCATTGCCCTTGGCAGATGTCTATGCTCAGAGTGCCGTTCTAATTGTCTCTGTTTTCTGTCTGCAGCTGATGTTGGGAGTTCCTGAGCACGCTCTGAGTGTTCTGCATGAAGCCATCGAGCCTGTTCTGGCCCACGGATCGGTCATGGACAAGGGCAGAGCCCTGCTGCTGACCGCACGCTGTCAGATGGCTGTGGCTGGGTTCAGGCCAAACGGACAAGGGCAAGCAGGTAACTGACCACTTCGCAGTACATCTGATCTCATAGACATTACATTAATGTAGAACAGATATTACCATTCAAAGAAACAGAGCAGCATGCACTCTGCTGCTGAGGGTCACTTTCTTTTGAACCAAATGACCACAATGAACAATGTCTGGACTGCGGTCTTGGCACAGTGGGCTAGTGCAGGGGTTCCCAACCCCCGGTCCGCGGACCGGTACCGGGCCGCGGAGGTGTTACTGCTGGGCCGCGAAATAGCTGTGAGTTTATCGTAATATTTGCAGAATTATAAATATATAAAAATATTTCATCATAATATTTTTTTCAAAAAGTGTTTAATTTTCGCACCTATACCAGTCATATTATTTCATCCAGTAGCCTAGTTAATCTTTCACCAGAAAACCGTTGAAAATGGCTTTTATGATGTTCCGAGGGATTCGGCGGCTCAGGGTCTCAGCCTCTCGTGCGCACGAGAAAGTTACCGGTGCGCCAAGTAGGAAGAGGAGCGTACAGGAGACAACCGTTTAATTGCAGACTGTTATGTTAATGTGGGGAAATGGCAGTGCATACATTATTTGAGATATATTTCAAACTCTGACCTCATTTTAACGACATGTCGGCCAGGGGTGTAGAGCTATTTGTTTAAGCTGGCAAAACAGGAGAGTAAACCAGTCTGCCTTGATCTATGAATTCATGTCCGGGACTCTCACGGTATCGGCTGCCCGCAGCTGTTATAGAAGGAAAACCTCCTTCACTTCATGAAATGGCTGCAGGCAGCATCAGGAGGCAGTATACCCCGCCTCTGAGAAGTGCAGCACCAGCGGGTAAAGATGTGCCTTTTTACTCACCGCCTTCGCTGTGTTTACCTTCATCAGAACAGCTTAAGAGTGACTGCAGGCTGCTACGTGTTAACCACACACACCTCTACACACATCTCTACACACATCTCTACACACATCTCTACACACATCGAACTGCCCGATTACTCCCCCTTTTATTCGTTTTATGAAGGAGATGTCCAAGGCAAGGCAAGTTTATTTATATACAGGGTTCGTACGGGTGCTTGAAATCCTTGAAAATGCTTGAAATTTGACGTGGTGTTTTCAAGGTTGGGAAAGTGCTTGAATTTTGGGAATGGTGCTTGAAATTGAGATAAAGTGCTTGAAAATGTAAATGCTTTACTTTTACAATAAATTGCTGTCTGACTGAATAGTTCGCTTTTTAGATTAAAAGAAAATAATTGCTTCGCTTCTAAAACAGCTCCGCTGCACCTTCCCGCGCTATGCGCGCGACCTGCAAGTGTTTGTTTTACGTGTGACCTGGGCATTCTGATGAGAGTGATAGATGACTGTGTGCCAGGAGGTTGCAGTTTCAACGAGCGTTGGCTAGCAGAAGACAAATACAAGCCATGGCTAAGACGAGGGTCAAGCCCACGAGTAGCCTCCTGCAAAGTTTGCAAAAATAATGATGCGAGAGTCTGCGCTGACGAGCCACATGAAAGGTACGCCGGAGTAGAGCATTTTAGATTAGGCTAACGTTGCATGTTACGTTTGTTTAAGCTAACGTTAGCTAGCTGAAAAGCGAACTCGATTGAGGGATAATAATAATTGCAGGGGACAATCATTTCAGAGGAGCGTACCTATGTTATGTGCGTTACAGTCGCCATCCTGTGGTGTTCAGAGGATGAAGCACTCACGGCATTTCGTGTTATAGACACGAAATATAATCTATTGATTCGACACAGAGCGATTTTGAAAGCAATGTATTTCTACTGGTAGTATGTTTCGTGCCTAAACCAAATGTGACTTGCTCTCTCGAAATCAGTCACATTGACCCGAAGACACATTTTTGTTTGTATTACTGGTCTGGGGGAAGCTCGCGAGTGTGTTTGTGTATTTTTGCGTTTGTGTACCGGGGAAACACTCACAAGAAACACCGGCTGTTGTTATGCCTGCTGTGACGTTACATTAGTCCGTTCTCTGCTTGTAATTATGCCGTCACAAGCTTCAAAGTTGTATTTATCATCTGAATTTGCCGAAACAAGTTTAATATTCTGAAAGCCAAGAATTGTTTATTTGAAAACAGATGAAAATAAACTGTCTTTTATATAAAATTGAAGTATTATACAAGTAAAACTACATTTAGCTTTAATCCCATGTAATTGTAGAATGAACACAGTCTTCCTTTGAAGATGTATAAGTCAGGTGTCTTGAGTAGTCAGCATTACCTACAAATCATTGTACACATTTGTAAATATTATTTTCCACTTGTTACCATTGTGAGTCTATTTTTATGCAGCTCTGCGTGATTTTGTGGCTACAATTCAGACTAATACGCTACCAGAGGTGGAATAAGTACTCGATCTTGTACTTGAGTAAAAGTAGAAGTACCAGAGTGTAGGAATACTCTGTCACAGTAAAAGTCCTGCATTCAAAATGTTCCTCAAGTGAAAGTAGAAAAGTATTATCATCCAAATCTAGTTAAAGTACCGACAGTAAAAGTAGTCACTGTGCAGATTGGTCCATTTCAGAATAATATATATGATATGTTTTATAATGATTGATCATGAAAGTGTTCTCAAAGCTGGTAAAGGTGCAGCTAGTTTGAATGACTTTGTATACTGCAGGGTAGCTTGTGGATTTACTCCAGGTGGAACTAAAGTCTGATTCAACACTTGATTAGATTTCACATCATTCATCCAGGTCTGTAAAGTAACTAAAGGTATTAAATACATGTAGTGGAGTAGAAGTACACCATGTACCTCTGAACTGTAGTGGAGTAGAAGTACACCATGTACCTCTGAACTGTAGTGGAGTAGAAGTACACCATGTACCTCTGAACTGTAGTGGAGTAGAAGTACACCATGTACCTCTGAACTGTAGTGGAGTAGAAGTACACCATGTACCTCTGAACTGTTGTGGAGTAGAAGTACACCATGTACCTCTGAACTGTAGAGGAGTAGAAGTACACCATGTACCTCTGACTTGTGTTTACTGCCAACCTAAAAGTACCTGAAAAATAGTAATCAATAATGTATTGAAAAGTTATTTGGCTGATTGTTTTATATTGGCTCAGACAGGTTATATGGGACATACAGATGGGTCACTCATTTTGAAATATTAAACTTAGTTTTCTTTTCTTTAATTTGTCATCCTCGTGTAGAATGCTATCACGAAACACACATTTGGTTGTTTATAGCATAAAGAACATCTGATTTAATGTGAGGTAGGGAAATAATCATTTGAGTATGTGTATATAAATATGTAATTTACAACAGCTGTAAGATGCTTGAAAAGCTGGAAAATGCACCTTGAAAATGCTTGAAAAGTGCTTGAATTTTACTTTGGAAAAGGTGTAAGAACCCTGTATATAGCACTTTTCAACACAAGGCAATTCAAAGTGCTTTACAAAAAATGAAAGACATTAAGAAATAAAAAGAAAAGCTAATAAAATAAACATTAAAAGAAAAAATACATGGATAAAGTTACAGTGCAGTCTAAGATATGAATAGTTCAATTAAAAGCAGCGACAAAATGAAAAGTCTTCAGCCTGGATTTAAAAGTAGTAAGAGTTGCAGCGGACCTGCAGGTTTCTGGGAGTTTGTTCCAGATATTTGGAGCATAATAACTGAACGCTGCTTTACCATGTTTAGTTCTGACTCTGGGGACAGAAAGCTGACCAGTCCCTGAAGACCTGAGAGATCTGGATGGTTCATAATTTAGCAGGAGGTCAGAAATGTATTTTGGGCCTAAACCATTCAGTGCTTTATAAACCAGCAGCAGTATTTTGAAATCTATTCTTTGACACACAGGAAGCCAGTGTAAAGACTTCAGAACAGGAGTGATGTGATCCACTTTCTTAGTGTTAGTGAGGACTCGAGCAGCGGCGTTCTGAATCAGCTGCAGCTTTCTAATAGATTTTTTAGTGAGACCTGTGAAGACACCATTACAGTAGTCCAGTCTACTGAAGATAAAAGCATGGACAAGTTTTTCCAAATCCTGCTGTGACATTAGCAGGGTTCGTACGGGTGCTTGAAATCCTTGAAAATGCTTGAAATTTGACGTGGTGTTTTCAAGGTTGGGAAAGTGCTTGAATTTTGGGAATGGTGCTTGAAATTGAGATAAAGTGCTTGAAAATGTAAATGCTTTACTTTTACAATAAATTGCTGTCTGACTGAATAGTTCGCTTTTTAGATTAAAAGAAAATAATTGCTTTGCTTTTACATAAAACAGCTCCGCTGCGGCCTTCCCGCGCTATGCGCGCGACCTGCAAGTGTTTGTGTTACGTGTGACCTGGGCATTCTGATGAGAGTGATAGATGACTGTGTGCCAGGAGGTTGCAGTTTCAACGAGCGTTGGCTAGCAGAAGACAAATACAAGCCATGGCTAAGACGAGGGTCAAGCCTACGAGTAGCCTCCTGCAAAGTTTGCAAAAATAACGATACGAGAGTCTGAGCTGACGAGCCACATGAAAGGTACGCCGTAGTAGAGCATTTTAGATTAGGCTAACGTTGCATGTTATGTTTGTTTAAGCTAACGTTAGCTAGCTGAATAGCGAACTCGATTGACGGATAATAATAATTGCAGGGGACAATCATTTCAGATGAGCGTACCTATGTTATGTGCGTTACAGTCGCCATCCTGTGGTGTTCAGAGGATGAAGCACTCACGGCATTTCGTGTTATAGTCACGAAATATAATCTATTGATTCGACACAGAGCGATTTTGAAAGCAATGTATTTCTACTGGTAGTATGTTTCGTGCCTAAACCAAATGTGACTTGCTCTCTCGAAATCAGTCACATTGACCCGAAGACACATTTTCGTTTGTATTACTGGTCTGGGGGAAGCTCGCGAGTGTGTTTGTGTATTTTTGCGTTTGTTTCCCGGGGAAACACTCACAAGAAACACCGGCTGTTGTTATGCTTGCTGTGATGTTACATTAGTCCGTTCTCCGCTTGTAATTATGCCGAAGCTTCAAAGTTGTATTTATCATCTGAATTTGCCGAAACAAGTTTAATATTCTGAAAGCCAAGAATTGTTTATTTGAAAACAAACTGTCTTTATATAAAATGTAAGTATTATACAAGTAAAACTACATGTTGCTTTAATCCCATGTAATTGTAGAATGAACACAGTCTTCCTTTGAAGATGTATAAGTCAGGTGTCTTGAGTAGTCAGCATTACCTACAAATCATTGTACACATTTGTAAATATTATTTTCCACTTGTTACCATTGTGAGTCTATTTTTATGCAGCTCTGCGTGATTTTGTGACTACAATTCAGACTAATACGCTACCAGAGGTGGAATAAGTACTCAGGTATTGTACTTGAGTATAAGTACTCAGATCTTGTAGTGAAATTATAAGTACTCAGATCTTGTACTTAGCAAAAGTAGAAGTACCAGAGTGTAGGAATACTCTGTCACAGTAAAAGTCCTGCATTCAAAATATTCCTCAAGTGAAAGTAGAAAAGTATTCTCATCCAAATATAGTTAAAGTAGCGACAGTAAAAGTAGTCATTGTGCAGATTGGTCCATTTCAGAATAATATATATGATATGTTTTATAATGATTGATCATGAAAATGTTCTCAAAGCTGGTAAAGGTGCAGCTAGTTTGAATGACTTTGTATACTGCAGGGTAGCTTGTGAATTTACTCCAGGTGGAACTAAAGATTCAACACTTGATTATATTTCACATCATTCATCCAGGTCTGTAAAGTAACTAAAGGTATTAAATACATGTAGTGGAGTAGAAGTACACCATGTACCTCTGAACTGTAGAGGAGTAGAAGTACACCATGTACCTCTGAACTGTAGAGGAGTAGAAGTACACCATGTACCTCTGAACTGTAATGGAGTAGAAGTACACCATGTACCTCTGAACTGTAGAGGAGTAGAAGTACACCATGTACCTCTGAACTGTAGTGGAGTAGAAGTACACCATGTACCTCTGAACTGTAGTGGAGTAGAAGTCCACCATGTACCTCTGAACTGTAGTGGAGTAGAAGTACACCATGTACCTCTGAACTGTAGTGGAGTAGAAGTACACCATGTACCTCTGAACTGTTGTGGAGTAGAAGTACACCATGTACCTCTGAACTGTAGAGGAGTAGAAGTACACCATGTACCTCTGACTTGTGTTTACTGCCAACCTAAAAGTACCTCAAAAATAGTAATAAATAATGTATTGAAAAGTTATTTGGCTGATTGTTTTATATTGGCTCAGACAGGTTATATGGGACATACAGATGGGTCACTCATTTTGAAATATTAAACTTAGTTTTCTTTTCTTTAATTTGTCATCCTCGTGTAGAAGGCTATTATGAAACACACATTTGGTTGTTTATAGCATAAAGAACATCTGATTTAATGTGAGGTAGGGAAATAATCATTTGAGTATGTGTATATAAATATGTAATTTACAACAGCTGTAAGATGCTTGAAAAGCTGGAAAATGCACCTTGAAAATGCTTGAAAAGTGCTTGAATTTGACTTTGGAAAAGGTGTAAGAACCCTGCATTAGTCTTTTAATCCTAGATATGTTCTTTAGGTGATAGTAGGCTGATTTAGTAACTGTTTTAATGTGACTGTTGAAACTCAGGTCAGAGTCCATGACTACACCTAGATTTCTGGCTTTATCTGTTGCTTTGAACATTGCAGACTGAAGCTCAGCGCTAACTTTTATACGTTCTGCCTTGGCTCCAAAAACCATTACCTCAGTTTTATCTTTTTTTAATTGGAGAAAGTTCTGACACATCCAGTCATTGATTTGTTCAATGCACTTACTCAGTGTTTGAATTGGAGCATAGTCTCCTGGTGAAATTGTTACGTACATTTGTGTGTCATCTGCATAGCTATGGTAACTTATTTTGTTGTTCTTCATTATCTGAGCCAGTGGTAGCATGTAGACCAGGGGTGCCCAACCAGTCGATCGCGATCGACCGGTCGATCGCGGGGAGATTCCCAGTCGATCGCGAGATGTGTCTAAAAATAGAACAACAATATTCTGTTTTATCGTTAATGTCCTGCAACATAATCTTCCTGTACCAGAATAATGCACTTGAACGCATCAAAGCTTTGTGATTGGCCGGCGTGACCCCATGTGTCGGGGCGTGGCTGGTGAGCAGTGGGCAGTGCACTAGTTCGCTAACGTTGTCCGTGTCAACAGGAGAGACAGTCCGCACACACACAAGACCGCAATTATGGCAGAAGCAAAACATATATAATTTTCACTCCGAGTGGGAGGATGATTATTTTTGTATCTATTCCAATTCAAAGTCCATCTGTCTCATCTGCAATGCGAGCGTGGCTTTATCGAAGAAGGGTTATTTAGGAGCGGCATTTCAAAACAGTGCACAAACGCTACGAGACGGAATTCCCTCCTAATTCTGCCCTACGCTCCAAAAGGGGAGGGGCCTGAGAGGACAGCTAAATGCACAGCAGTCCATTTTCACCAGGCCCAACAACAAGAGCAAGGCTGCTACCATAGCATCTTATCGTGTCAGTCACGTTCTTGCGAAACACATGAAGTCTTTCAAAGACGGCGAAGTTGTGAAAGAAGCATTCCTGGAGGCTGCCGATGCGTAATAAAAATAACAGAAGCATTTCAACAGGTTTTTGATATGATAAAAACTCAAGTTAGATACCGTTATTAATCAGCTGTAAGTTTGAGTTTGTTTGAACTTATTCATTATAATTATTGTACAAAATGGTATAATAATGCAAACTTAAATTGATTATAGTCTATTATCAATTCAGGTTAAGAAACTAGTGTTGCTTGCATCCTATTTTAAAAAGGCATTTATTTTTATAATCTACTAAAATGCAACAAAAAATGGTTTGATTCTATTAATGTTGTCTTTTGTATTGCACTGTTGCAGCAGATTCCTGTGTAGCTTCAGATCTGAGTTGTCTTATTGGTAAGACTCATTTATACTTTTGTAGCAACACTATTTTTATATAATGGCAAAGAAAGGGTTCAGAGTATTTTCTTTTTTTCCTGTGTCATATGTGGCAGCACTGTTCAATGTTTCTTGAATACATTACCCACTTATAACAACACTGTTGTGTAACTTCAGTTCAATACTTGTATGTGTGTAGATTAGAAAGAGGTAAGATAAAGGATCTGCAGTGTTTTATGAAGTATTCATCGTACAAAGGTCAGTTTTATACAAGTAGAAGTGTGTATTTACCTGGTCAGTAATGGCTACGCCTCTCTATTTGGACTGGTAGATCTCGGCAGACTAGCAACTTTAAAAGTAGCTCTCGGTTCAAAAAAGGTTGGGCACCCCTGATGTAGACGTTAAAGAGAAGAGGCCCCAAGATGGAGCCTTGAGCTACCCCACATGTCATATTTGTCAACTCAGATGTGTATTTACCTATAAAAACAAAGTTGTTTCTGTCCTTTAAGTAGGATTCAAACCAATTTAGAACTGTTTCCGAAAGTCCCACCCAGTTCTCCAGTCGGTCTAGTAATATGTTGTGGTCAACTGTGTCAAACGCAGCATTGAGATCTAATAATACTAACACTGAAGTTCTGCCACTGTCTGTGTTTAAGTGGATGTCATTAAAGACCTTTACAAGAGCAGTCTCAGTGCTGTGGTTTGGACGAAAGCCTGACTGAAACACATCAAAACAGTTATTTAAATGCAAGAAATTACTCAACTGTTGAAAAACAACTTTTTCAATGATTTTACCTAGAAATGGCAGGTTTGATATGGGCCTGTAATTGTTCATTACTGAAGCATCTAGATTATTCTTTTTTAAGAGCAGTTTAATGACTGCAGTTTTCAGGGCCTGTGGAAAAATACCTGAGTGAAGAGATTTGTTTACTATATGAAGTAGATCTGAGGCCATGCAACGAAAAACATCTTTGAAAAATCCTGTTGGAATAATATCAAGGCAACAGGAGGAGGATTTCAGAAGTTGAATAATGTCCTCTAGGTTTTTATCATTAATCTGATGGAATTGTGTCATGGTGTTTCAATTGATGTTAAGTGGACACAGAGACAACACATTAGCTGTTCCTGATGCAGAGGCACTGACTGCTTGTCTGATTTTCTGAATGTTGTCAGTGAAGAAGGAGGCAAAATCATTGCACGCCCTGGTGGATAGAAATTCAGAGGCTACTGACACTGGGGAGTTAGTTAGTCTGTCGACGGTAGCAAACAAGGCACGTGCTTTGTTTTTGTTTTTGGTAATGATGTCAGAGAAGAAAGACTGTCGTGCGTTTTTCAATTCCAAATTATAAAGGCCAAGTCTCTCTTTATAGATTTCAAAGTGAACCTGGAGATTTGTTTTTCGCCACCTACGTTCAGCTTTTCGACATTCTTTTTTTTCTGCTCTCACGGTCATGGCCTTTCTCCATGGAGATATTTTCTTGCCAGACACTTCCTTTACCTTAGTTGGAGCAATGGCATCTATAACATTTTAATTTTTGAATTAAAATGATCTACTAGCTCATTTACTGAGATGTTAGCAGGGGCAAGTGTGGAAGAAAAATTCTGAGTAAACATTTCCCTAGTATTTTCAGTTAAATATCGCTTTGTGGTTACCTCTTTTTGAACATTTTTGTGAACAGAAATAGAGCTCTCAAAGAAAACACACAAATGGTCAGAGAGTGCAACATCAGTCACCACAACCTTAGAGATATTCAGACCCTTTGAGATAATTAAGTCCAGAGTGTGCCCCTTATTTTGCGTGGGCTCCGTCACATGCTGAGTCAGTCCATAGCTATCAAGAACACAAAACAGTTATTTTGCCCCTCTGTCCTGGGGGTTGTCAACATGGATGTTAAAATCACCAACAATGACTAGACGGTCAAAGTCAATACACACTATAGACAGCAGTTCAGTAAAGTCATCAAAAAAGCTTGCACAGTATTTGGGTGGTCTATAGATATTTAGGAACAGAGCTCGAGAGGAGCATTTCAGCTGAAGGGCCACATATTCAAAAGAATCAAAGTTTCCATAAGATGTCTTCCTGCATTGAAGGGAATCATTGAACAGAATAGCAACTCCACCCCCTTTCTTATGCATTCTTTCCTGACTCATAAAACTAAAGTTGGGAGGGTTTGATTCGATAAGAACAGCTGCACTGTTATTTTGTTCAATCCAAGTTTCTGTTAAAAACATAAAATCAAGATTGTGCTCAGTGATAAAATCATTGATTAAAAATGTTTTTCCTGCCAAAGACCTGACATTTAATAAAGCTAGTTTAAGTTTGTTAAACACACTATCAGTCAGGTTTTTTGTAACAAGCTGTGGCTGACATGGAATCACTGCTAAATTAGATAAACTCACACAAACGTTTGAGCGCTTCCTGTATCTAAGATGATTCACCGCTCTTAATCTATTACCTATCAACACAGATATCGGCAAAGCTACAGGCAGGCAGGGCCCTGGCATGTCCTGGAAAGAGTTGAGAGTGCCATACGCCCTTGAGCCTGGACCCAGCACATATCAGTTTGCAGCGTTTTGTACACACACATCCCTATCAGGCTTTGAATGGGAGGGAGGACCCACCACCCTGCTCCTCTCATCGTAGGCGGGCAGGGTGAGGGCTACACTGTAGAAAGGGGGGTTTGGAAATCTGCTTCCATCTTCCTTGTATTGTTGTGGTTTGGATGATTGTGGTAGGCATGGTGATGAAGCCGGGGGAGATGGTGCGCATCTCTGCTTCGGTGATTTTGGTGGGCGTCGTTGAGGGGCGGGGGTAAAGGACATGCTGCCAACCCTGCGTGTCGCCTTCATGCGGTCATCGAACTCCAGGATGGTGGGCGAGGGTGAAAGGGTGAGCGGAGAGTAGAGAGAGCTGGGGGATGAATGAAGAGTATCCTCAAAGGCGTTGACAGGGAGGGTGACGGGCAGTGGAGACTCCTCCATTTGTGTCATAGGTCTCCCATAATCAGAACATTCCTCAGGCGGATGCAGTGATACTTCTTCAGGGTTTTCTGCGCGATGTGTTGTGTCTCTCTCCTGTTTTGATTCCTCTTGTTGCTTGTCCTTGGCAGAGGGAACAGATTGATGACGCAGGCAGTTGAATATGTTAGAGATAAACAATTTCACTCCTGACTTGTTCAGGCAAACTCCATTTGCCTTGAAAAGATGTCTGCGGTCCCAGAAAAAGTTAAAATTGTCAATAAAATGAACAGAATGGTCAGTACAGGCCGTTGAAAGCCAGGTGTTCAGTGCAAATAATCTGCTGAATCTCTCCACTCCTCTTCTGACTGGCGGTAGAGGGCCACTGATGAACACCTCTGCATTTAGAGAGCTGATAGTTTCCAACAGACATTTAAAGTTTTTTTTCAGCACTTCTGACTGTTGTTTCACAACATCATGTGTTCCAATGTGCAGTACCACATTCTTCACAGTCGGATGTTCAGCTCCAATATGCAGGATCTTCTCAGCCAAGTCAGAGACCACATCCTTGGGAAAACAGAGTACTTTGGTGTTGTTCTTATTACACAGACCTTTTACATCTCTTACAGCAGAGTTACCCACAATCAGAGTTTCAGGCCCAGTCATTAGCTTTCCCTCTAGCCTTTTACTTTTGGAGTAGCTATTGGAACCCCTGGTATAGAGCGCTTTGAGCACCTGGAAAAGCGCTCTAATAAAAATGTAATGAATTATTATTATTATTATTATTCTATTATGACTCATCTATATCACAGGTCTGTGTAGCTGTGCAGCTTCTTTATAAACTCTTCTTGTTGTCTCCTTGCAGATTTTCACTTGGCGGGTTTGGCCGTTGACACACTAAATGAGGCAGCAGGCTATTTCTCCAAGCTGAACTGTAAGGAGCGGCTGCGGGACGTCCACTACCTGCAGGCCCTGCTCCACCGCTCCCTGGGACAAACCTCGCACTGCCACAAAAGTGCAATGCTCTTCCGGCTGCTGGACCAGGAGCTGCAATCCCCAGCGCCTCCAGTCTCCATGCGACTGTAACTTCTTCCTGTCCAACAACCAACAGGAGTCATTCTGGCTGAAAAGGACACTCCTGAGTTGAGTACCTACTGCGCTCGCTAGATGGTGACAAATATCTGTCCTTCTCTGTCGGCACTAAAACATTTCATTTGCAAATATTTAGGCAATTGTGGAACTCTTAGCACGCAATGCCTGGGTAATAATTAGAGAAGACAATGTCAGTATTCATATACAAGGCTGGGTTACCGGCAGACCCTAAATAGAATCCTCGTCTCTGCACTCGTGTCCGGGTACCGATTTGAATGGTGGCCTGATGATAAACATAGCGTGTTTTAATAACACTTCAACCTCAGCAACACTCCAGGATTGTCAGACAGACATAACATGCCTCCCCACGGCATGGTAGAAAGGTTGAAAGTTTATCAGGTGCTGTCAAGGCTGTGCTGATTTACCTGCCGCTTCATGATGAATGAGGGTAATATCACAGTTAGCCACAAGATGAATGTGTTTCTGTGGCCAGGATGATTCATATTCCGGCTGAAGAATACAGATGAAGCTGGAATCCGAAGGAGAAAATCGTGACCACATCTATAATGCAATAGCCCTTCGATGACATAACACCAGATACTATCCGTTTTCCACTTACATCTGTCACTATTTGAGATAACGACTTTTTGTATGGTGACATTACATTTAGGTGGCCTGACGGGCCTGTAATCCATTACACGCTGCTCGTCTTTCAGGAAAATAAACGACTTGTTTTCTCTTATTTGGTTCTCAGTTCATCTGGCTCATGTAGGAATAATTGTGAAGGGTAATGTATCTGAGAACATCTCTCTGTGAGAGTGTAGTAACAGTTTTGTTTTTTTAAAGGAGCCCTATTCTGCTTTTTGGGGCTTTCTCTTTCTTGTAGTGTATGATATAGGTTTCTGTGCGAGTGGAAATAGTTGCTGCTCAAGCATCTTTAAGGAAAGTAGAGCCCTCGACAGGAAATGTCTCTTCTGTCTCTTTTATCATCTGTGCATGCTCCCTGAAACTGCCATGTTTGGTCTCGTGTCATTCACTGGACAAACAGATAGATAACAGTGGTGCATAATAAAAGCAGGCCTGCTTTCTATGTAAATATCACTCGTCATGTGATTCTCCACACTCTCACCAGTCAAATCTTGTCACTGTTGCTTGTTGTATTCTGGCTTCAGTCCCCGGGGCCAAATGGGGCCTGTATTTAAATGATTGTCTAGATTACAAATAACAGTGTGTACAGTACGTGGGCCAGATCAAAGTTTAGGATTAACTAATGTTTGTTATAACACACTACCAAAGGAATGTGTGTGTTAACAAAAGTGCAGAGTGTATTGCATTCAGTTTATGCATATGTGCAAGAGTCTTTATGTTCGTTGTATAGTTTGCTGAAGTGAGATTCAAACCACCTATTCTTATTCATCAATTTGCACAAAACCATTTACAGCCGAAAGCTTGCTATTTGAGTGATTTTCATTGCAGCAGAGGAATTTACATGAGAAAGAAAAGATCTACTTAGACATATTGCGTTTCCTTTCAAAAACAACCCGATTTCTTTTTTTTAAAGCAGCTTAAAATATTTTTGAGTTTAGAAAAACTTATGAATTATACAAATCTGACTTGAGAGTGAGCTTTGTACCCATTGGCAGCATGTTGTCACCACACAGTGAAAGTAAAACAGGGTCAGTCTCTTCGGGGGTTCTGAGTGCTGCACACGTTTTGTTTACAGTCCAATGAGGAAAACAATTCATTCAATGTATATGTTCAAGTGCTGAAACGGTGAGTTAATTAAGTTAGTCAATAGACAAAGTTAATTGACAGCAAGTCGTATAACCAGTGAATCTTAAAGGTGACATGCCATGCTTTTCCGGTTATTACCCGTCCCCTTGTGTGTTATGAAGGTTTTTATGCATGTAAATGGTGTGCAGAGTCAAAACTATGGAGTCAGATTTGGGTCAATATTCTAGCGCGTAAAACAAGCTACTCACGTGCGGAAAATGTGCTTTTACACATGCATAAAATGACCCTTGCGCGCAGATTAAACCCCCGCGAGCGGCTCTTCGCTCGCTCGCGAGAGACAGCCCTCTATGGAAAGCCATTTGCATCACAATTCGCACGTTTATTCGCGCGGATTAACGGGGAGGTCCGTTTAAGTTCAAAGTCTCAGTAACCAATCAGTGAAGAGCAAAACCAGACCAAAGCAATCTGTAGATGAAAAGTTCCTGACATTGTGAGGCTGTAAATTGTACGTTATTCCAGATTCAGGGGACTATGTATTAATTTGGCTTTCAATATAATAAATATATCAATCAATATAACCTGCCTTCATTGTCTTTTAAAAATAAAATCGCCTTACCTTATCTTACTGAAGTGAAGGGTATTGATGTCTCCTTAAATCACCTTTTAAATGTACTTCTTATAACATGGCATGGTGTAACATATCAAAATGTTCAGTCTCTGGTCTTGCTAGAAATGCAATGTCACTCACCTTAGAGCACTGTCTTATGAGATACTTAGCTTAGAAATCAGATTTTTGGAAAACTTAAAAACTCTTGTGAAAACACAGATGTACTCATGTCATCCATTTTTTTTTGGTGTTTCAGATGTGGTTTACCAACGTTTTTGGTTCACAAAAGTAGTGAAATATATGAATTACACTATAGGCCTATATACATGTGTTGTTCATGTCTAAAATGAAAATGTGTAAATTAGAATTTGGAGTAAAATAGTTCTATCACTCTACTTTCACCACAGAAAAGTTACATCAGGACTGATTCATGACTTCATATTCCATACTGAGGTTCATGTGATGTGTACAAATACAAATTGAGCATTACAACTTTTTTTTTCAACCAACTATTTATGTTAACATAAGAAACTGTAAAATCTCAATATTTACAATACAGGGTTCATACACTTTTTCACCAATGATTTTAAATGACTCTTTCATGTGGCTAGCATGCGCTGCCTCGCCCATATTCGAAATATTGAATATGTTACAACACAGTTTGCATTTAGCACGTCTTGGGTCAATGTCTTTTGATAACCACAATTGGTACTTATTCTTTAGAAGCCATACATTGTTGAAACTGCACTTCCCTGGCATCTTTATATCAAATAGTAGCTCCTGTAGACTAGAGGGCATGATTGTAAACATCTCTCACCAGCGAAATACTGCCACAGTTGCCATTTTACGTTTCATTATACGATACAGTATTTATTATCATTATAGTATTACTATTTCGGCGATTAGATAACATATAAATTATATTTGATGCAACTTTAGTTATATTTCCATGACTTTTCCAAAACTTTGGGAAAGATATTGCATTCCATGACTTTTCCAGGTTTTTAATGACTGTACGAACCCTGACAATATCAGAACTTTCTCAACCAACTATTCATTATAAATGTAAAGACAGGGGGAGCAGTGCCATGGTCTTTGTCTGTCTTCCAAGACAGTGGGTCTGGCTGCTGTGTAGGTGGGGGTGATGGTGTGGGGGTGATGGTGCATGGGCTGCTGGTGGCTGTGTCGGCGGGAGGGAGGTGTGCTAGGCGAGACTTCTTTGCTGGCTGGGTTGATTGTGATGGCTGTGGTGGAGGCCTTTGTACCGAGGTGTATCTTAATCTTGTGGCAGGCACCAGATGGAGGTGGAGGCTGCTGTAGTGATGCTGGTCCTCTGGTCCTTGGTGGTGGTGGCTCTGGTGAAGGCCCTTGAGCCACGGTAGATCTTGACCTGGGTGCAGGCACAGATGGAGGTTCTTGCAGCTGTGAAATCGGAAAGAAATACAGGACAATAATTACTACTAAGTTCATTAAAATATAAAGTTCAAGTGGAATGTTTCTCCCCTCTCTCTCTCTCTATTTAACTATGTTACACCCACACAATGAAAGTACACTATTACTGTAATATTTACCTATCTTCAAATGGATCCTTGTTGTTGTTGCTGTATTCTCCAGGTTCTGATGCTCCATCTCCACTGCTGCTACAAGTCCGCTGTGCTGGTAATCAGATAATAAGCCTGTTGAACAGGAGAAAAGAATGAAGCAGAGGGAAAGTTGCTGCCGTTTGTGTGGTTGTCCTAGCCAGAATTTATTAAACACATTAATAAATTCACTTACAAATTATATCCGTTTTCTCTATTTATCTAATCATTCTCTGGTTTGACGCCACATGTATCTCTGCGTTGTGTGGTCGAATGAATATGGCTTCCTTCTTGCCAACCAGGTTTATTATCTGTGCAAACAGAATATAATAAAATGGCTTCACCAGCTTTCTACCTCAATACTTCTCCTCAGTGAGGCCTGAAGCTAACTGAGAATGTAAAAATACATTTAGCCAATCAAAATAACTATGTCTGACATATTTCGTTTTCTAATCAAAAATGGACATAAATGCACAGGTATGGAAGCAAACAAGAGACAGAAGTATTTGAATTTGATTAGACACCGAATTTATAGCATTGAAAATAATTACTTTGAAAATCATGTATCTGAATGTTTTTGCTCCGAATTTACCTTAGTGAAATAAAAATGTAAAAATTCAAGTGAAAAAAATTCGAATGTTCAAATTCAGATCCCAAAAATTCGACGTCAAAAAATTCGGTGTATACAATTCGATGTCCAAAATTGCGATGCAGCATCATCCGGGCTACTCAGACAGGATAAGCAATCGAGCCCTAATGCAATCAAACTGACTTGGCCTATCAGAGCACGGCTTTGCCAGTCATGTGATCACAACAACCCGGGAGAAAAATGACGGAGAACAGCGGGGTTCGCCGCTCGGGTAAGTTGTCAGTTTGTGCTCTTTATTTTACAAGCAGTGAGGGCTCGACAGCATTTGTATCTTACATTAGCTAGGTAAATGAGTGAAGTAGCCTTGTGCCTTGCTGTTAGCAAGCTCCGTAGTTATCATTAATTGAAGTGAATCACAACGTTACCGTGTCCTTTTGTGTGTGTGAGGGGGGAGGGAGGGGGGGGGGGGGATAGTTACTATCACTTCTATAACGTAACTATCACTTCGGTTAGATAAGTCAAGTAGACCATGCTACACTATACGAAATACTCTCTTACAAAAGCCCTGCATTTAAACATGTTACTTTAGTAAAAGTATGCTAGTATAATTAGGAAAGTGTTGTTAAAGTGACGGTTTGCAAAGTAACGTAACTATCACTTCGGTTAGATAAGTCAAGTAGACCATGCTACACTATACGAAATACTCTCTTACAAAAGCCCTGCATTTAAACATGTTACTTTAGTAAAAGTATGCTAGTATAATTAGGAAAGTGTTGTTAAAGTATTTAAAGTAGACACAAGTTATACTATTATATTATATCATTTGATTTATTGTTATTACCGATGCACGAGTTGACTTAACTGTTGTAGTTGGAGCTCATTTTGAACAATGAGCTAACTAATTATTACTTTCATAATGGTTTAATGTGCTGACTATTTTCTACATTAATAGATGAAGGTCTGGTGTGTTCAAAGTCTCAAAATAGTAGGACCAGAGCCCTGAGTAGGACATGCTGTCATAATTACCCAGAGTCCGAAGTGACACCTTTACAATGTTAAAGCTGTTAGATAAATGTAGTGACGTAAAAACTAAAGTATTCAAGTTAGTGTAGTGAAAAAGAGATAATGTTTTTTTTTTAAATGTTACTAAAACAAAATCTCTTGTTTTGGACTGACAGTAATGATTCAAGAAATAGTAAATAAATAAATACACAAACATCAATCTGTTGTGGATGGAACACAACAAATGGTGCTCTTACCTGTGATGCCTCCTCCAAACATTATAACGAGACTGTATCATTCAAACTATAAGTAACAGTTCTAGCTACTTGACTTCAGACAAACAATTCAAAAGACACAATTTATTGAAAAACCAATCTTTATTTTACGGTGCCTCTCCTTTTGTTTGTATTATTAAACCCTTTCAATCTAAAAAACTGAGCAACTCAACAGTTCACTTTATATTTCTTATTGTCCAAAGCATCTAATAATAATAATAATAATAATAATACATGGGACTTTTATATAGCTTTTCATGAAACTCAAAGACTATTACACAATTTTGTTCCCCTCTCATATTCACAGGATGGATGATTAGAGACTTTGGGGGAAACCTCAGCTTTATGAACGTCCTGTCTGTTGGTTTGGCCGGAGAGGGCTGAGGGTCTTTCCCTGCGAGGAGTCCTCCTCGCAGGGAAAGACCCTGCAGGCCTGAGGGAGGAGGACCAGGCCTGAGGGAGAAGGACCAGGCCTGATGGAGGAGGACCTGCACCAGCTGCACCTACAGAACTTAGCCCATACTGGGCATAGCTGTTACCACCTGCACAGGCCTAGCCTGTCAATTAACAGATTAACATTTAGTGTAACTGATGTATATTATTTCGTTTTTATTTAAAAAAAAAATGGTGATGGTTCATGCTTGATAACTTTTAGTTCACATTTCAATAAATTGTATTTGCACTCCTTTTGTCCGTTATTCTTACTGAAAATGTTAGATTACACATTCACATCTGACTGAAGATTGGTACCATTTATTTATGACGTTCCAAACTCGGCGGTACAAGGCACAAGTATTGTGAAGCTCATAAAGTTAGGCAAATGCATTTGATCAGCTGACTTTTTTTTTTTGCCAAACTTTATAGGCCTGACAATAATCACACTGTCTCTGAGGTGCAACGTAAAACAACACAAATGAAGTTCCTGTTAGACTACAAAACTATTCAGTGTGCAGGTCTTTGTGTTACAATATAAGTGTCTCTTAGTGAATGTCCTGTACTGCTCTTATATCTCATAACATCAGCTTCTCCTTTCCCTCTTGGATGTTCTTCTGGACCCTCAGAGAAAGAGAACATGGTGAAGCAGTCCTGTCTCTCAGGCGTGTCCTTTCCTAACAGAAATATCAAAAAACATATTATTGCAGAGCAAGTGTGTTATTTAAGAAAGAGGTGTGTTTGTTTCTTCAGGGGCTATAAATATAATGATTTTTTTTTTTATTTGAATGTGTTTTTTAAATCCAACAGTGTACTACAAAGATAATCAGATTATGAATAAACCGTTCTAAATTCATCAACATTGAAATAAATGTATTATTAAAATAATATTTAACGGTTATCAAAACTTAGTGCAACTGTGGAAGCTTGCTCTGTCCGGTTGTCTCACTGAAAGACAAAGGGTCGCAGCTCTCACTATGTTCAATAATATTTGCCTTAAATACATTGAAATGTGAAAGTTGAACAAAAAAGTGATGTTGCTTGGTAAAAATGTAAATGTAACGTTTTGCTAAGAAAGTCCACTCAACATCAC